GCAAAGGAGCGCCAATGCTAGATGTTCTGTAGCATCTGTTATGGGTGTTTTTAGCCAACATTACGGCTACGCGTACTAGACGATAACAGCGGCAGCAAAGATGAGAAAGAAAGTATCACGACAATTAATGCATGAATGATGGTGAAGATTTGGAACCTTTCACATTAAGCGCTTTTTTCTCATACTGTTTACAAATGGAAGACATTTAAAACACTGCAATGAATTTCGTAAATTTGCATGTATTTTCAACGCGTTCTCACCAGTCTGACCAGAGATTTGACTCTGCCACAGAAGCCCCTGCAGTTTAGCTGAAAATATGATTGCTGCACTTCAATAAATCATTGACGCAAAAGTTAAAAAATTAGTAGAAATGAACAAAGAAATAACAACGTACAAATTTAATTAATTTCTCTGGATGAGGATCTAAGCGTTTCTCGATGCTACCTATAAAATGAAATTCTCGTTCTGTTTGAACAGATTTACACTCATGCCAAAAAACGACGTCGATCAGGAATCTTTATAAGTTACTGCTTCCGTTTCTGCCATAAGGAGTAAAACAGAACTCATGAAAAGAATTCAGGTAACACCTCACGCTGATTATTATACTGGAGAGTCATCTATCACAAGCAGACATAAGGAACGCTGACAGCGGCAGGCCCAGCCATACACATTGACATGACCGTGGCAGAATACCACGCTGTCCTTGTTGACAAGTCAACGACTTGTGATCCGTTTCTCAGCTGGTTGTACTGAAGCAAAGCGATGCTAGCTTCTTGCTCCAGCGAGTTCCCGGCAAGACTGCCTTCAGCGGCTTCAAACCTTGCACCTCTTTGCCAGTGTGCTACGCCACCCAAAATAAAATTGCTATAGGAGGTACTATATCAAGTGACGCAGAGTCAAACTGAATTTATTTAAGTTTCTCCAATGATTTTGAACTAGATTCTGATTCATAACGAATATTAATATTTGTATTTAAGCTTGTATTAATCAAAAGCAATGATATTTAGACATGACAAGAGGTTCATCAGATACCTCAGCTTCCAGTACATTAAATTTTGTAGCAAAACTAAAACCATTGTCATTCAAGAGATATAAAATATCTTTCACCTGCGCTGATAATAAACATTTAAACGGCGGAAATATAACATCATTTACTATAAATAGCCAAGCATTAAGCAGCAATACACACCTGTCCGCTGTCCAGGATTATACGGACGTAATCGCACCGTCACTATAATTTTAGTGAGAGAGTTCCTTTCTACATGTATGTTACTTTAATCGACAGTGCAACTATCTTATGTCAGCAAATCAATATGGTAGCATTGTCGTTTTATGCATCACCATGTCTATTATTTGGAGTTCATATATGAGGAATTTTGTCATAAGACTGCAATGGGGTGTCATGGACTGCAAAAGTTCTAGTATAATGGAACCCGCTGAAAATAACCCGCGTGTGGCTGAAAGCAACGAGGTTGCACAATTAACGCTCTAGGTCGAGAGGCCGAGTAAAACATTTTCAGCGGTAACGTAAATCATACCAAAATCGGTCTGACGACCAAGCTGATCACGTGACTTCGAGTTTGGTACACACTGGATGATGCCGCAGCCGGGCGCAGTGGCGACAACTTGGTAGGGATGAAAGTACACGTCCAATTCGACGGATTCGTAAATTTTCTTGCACAGTTCCATGATCTGAAGTGCCAGCATATCCTGCAAAAGAAGGTAGCGTGAAACAGTTACTCGACCAAAGCGAATTCAAGCAAAGTAGAACCTGTCGAACATCGTCGCCCACTTTGAAGATGGCTGCCTGCCATTCGAGGACGGGTTCCTCCTTTTTCTCAACATTTTGCTGCTTTTTTTCAGACATGCCGAGATCTTCTATCTCTGCTATACTGCAGTGCTTCACTTCGAATCGAACAAGAAACGGAGCTTTGGCCGCGCTAAAAATGTGAATAAAAATACGAAAAGCTTATATAAAAATACATAAATATAGAAAGGCGCCGTCTTGTCTTGTATTAACCGGACTATATCAGATGAGCGAAAAAGAACGGCAATTTCATTTCGGAATATCTGACAAAACAATTGGCTTTATTCCATGCAAAAAGTGCCAAACTACTAGTTTCACTGGCTGGGCCGAGCAGCAATCGAATGAAATTCTAGCGCTGGGCGACTTGAGAGAAACAACAAACTAGCTGATGCCGACAACATAAACAACAACCGAACCTCACACCCAAACTGAACTTGAAGAAAGGCGTGAAGTACAGGCAAAAGAAAGCGTATCAGACAATCATCTGGCTGAAAGCCACACAGCGTAGTGTTCAATAAAACTGCTTTTGAGGTGTTTTCCAGAATGAATGCCAACGCACAAACAAAATTCTCAATCTTTGGATTATACCTTACAGTCTTCAAAATGTGCATCCATATACTGTAGTACGTCAATATGCCCATACCTCGTCACACAGTTGTCTAGAGGGCCAATGATTCCGTGGTATTTAAAAATTTGTTGCGCTAAATGCATGTCAGATTTCATGATACTTCCCAAATCAACCCATACACATCATAAATGACATTTAAGGAACAAGCACCTCTTATATGCCACGCATAAGAGCAACATATATGTTCTGAAGCTGGAGCATGTCAACTGGTGCATAACTTATTCAGACAAAACGACGTGGACGTATCAAACTACAACTGCTCAAACACCATAAGACCACAGACCTGCTTAAACGTTCCCTAGGCAACTACGGACAATGCGGCTGTGAAATATGCCGTGAAATCTAGTCTTGCATGAGTTATACGTTAACTTCCGGTTTTGTGAAATCCTTGAAGGAGTAATTAGACTGACATGTGCCTGGTGCACAACATCATTCATATAGTATTGTCTTGGCCTCGATTGAGCATACTTTTTGCAGAAAGTCGTCATATCTTCTTATAATATGGTCAGAAATAAAGCGCATTCGCAAATGACTGCTTTTGTAAACAAACAGTACCTTGTTAACGAAATGTTTTAGAACATTACTATCCGCTGGAAAACGAAACTGGAACTAATGAAGAAATGCCTACCTCTGCAACGGTGTTGCTGAACCGTAGTCAATATCAGTTACGAGGGACTGCGGATCAGAAGGCAGATAGCAGTCACTGACCATTTTAACACGACTAAGAGCCTGCAAACAGGCTGCTTTTCGTTCAGGACCTTTCGGGTAAGGCTTAATTTCACGCGAGATCGATGTTATTTCGCCAAAAAAGCTGAACTCGCGTTCATAGAAGTCTTTAGCACTTCCGGTCAGCGAATTTACGATCTATAAACAAAAAGAAAAGTTCACATAAGTTACCAAGGATTACCAACATGCTAATAAAATGACCTTGAGAATGAGCGCTGCCAATTTGTCGAATAAAACTGGATCTTTCTGAACACCATCTTCGTCGAGATACATATTGGTGTGCATGTTCCAAATGAACTGGTGCGCCAACAACTGCGACTTTTTTGCTAGCGTCAGAATTAGTTCAGAAACGTAGTCCATCTGCAAATACAGGCTGATATCATAATTGCAAAGCAAAACGCACGGCTGCCACGGATCCAAAAACTTACCGTATCGTTTCGAAGGGCCTGCACGATTTGTGGTATGTACTGCAAAAGTACTTCTGAAGGATATTCGCTCAAAATACGCGCCGCGTACTGCGCGCTGATCGGATGAGGCACACTGTCGCGTGAAAAGAAGGACAACGCCAATGGAGGCGATACCGGTACCCAGTTAAGCATGTATGATAACTAAAGTTCAAAGCTTGAGGCAACGCAAAATAAACACCTCGCCACACCTCTGGGGCATCAGAATCTAGAGGGGATGCCAATATCAAATACTGCAATGCTTCAGGAATATGCAAAACTGCTTCAGGGCAGGACTTTACTAGATGGCCCAGTTCACTGCGAGCGACGTCAGAGTTTTTGAACCTATCATTAAACACATAACCGATAAAGTTAAACCGAAAATCAGCTGGTACTCACCGAACTGGAATATGTACGGCCAAAGGAGGCGAAATCTCCCAAGCTAACCTGGTACTTTCACGCAGAATTTTGGCCTCAGTTCTGACATCAGCGAAGTACTTCAGTTTCCACTTTTCGAGTTGATCTTCAAACGGTAAAACGTTCTCCTGACTTCCCTGAGGATTCATCCATGCACAGAGTCTTTCTACCTCGCTGCACTGAAACCCAACCGAAAGAAAAAATTGCAGAAAGCAAAAACAAATCTTGTTTGCATACTACAAGTGCCAGAATGAGATTCCTTCGCTTGAAACATTCTTTAATCAAGCTCTTCTGACTCAGTCTGAAACTCTGTCGGTCTTCAGCAAACTCTAAAAACAACGCACGCGCTCTGAAAACTGTTTATAAAACTCAGCGTAAATATTTAGGATATGAATCAACCACACTACTACTAACATTAGCAATATTACTGCTGTATGAAACATAATAATGACACCGAAGCAGCATGCATAGTGTATACTACATACCAAACTCGGTTCATCGATCACTTAGAACAGACATTTCAATGCAGCAGAATGCAGACATTACGTAATTCACATAAAACAGAATTACGTAATCCTGAACTGTGAATGTGTATCATGAGAACCCGGAAACAGTCGAAAAACAAGAGCTTGATAATTATAGCCGTAAGAACCCCTTTGTTAAAGCAGTTCCGCATAGGAGGAAGAACACAGCGAAACCACAAACTCTTATTGAAGCATTGGGGGCTACCATTCGTATAAAGTTTAAAAGCGCGTTAAAATAGTTTAATCATGCCGATACCCTATGAATAGAAAATGATGACTTCTGGGCAAGAATAGCCTAAAATCATGATATAAAAGTTAACGTCCTCTGCATTGTTTCGATGGAAAACCTGATTAAATTTCATCGTCATAACGTTCTCACTGCTTAAAAATTTATATTTATGTCGCCATTACTCTGGACGCCAGATTACATGTGTCACATAGTGCACAAAGTAGTAGCTGTAACAGTATGGGACGCTACTTCATTATTAATTACATTATTAACTGCATCCGAGAAGCTTTTTACACACTGACCATAATGCCAACAGTTTTAACAGTGGCTTAGTTTAAATGATCTGATATCTATCTAGACAGTGGGCATATGAAGTACGGAGGTAATACGCAAAGGTAGAGATAATTAGGCATATTCAGAATTTTGCCATAATAGGCTAGCCAGCTATCAGGCGTATCAATTAGACGAAAACTTTCACAGCTGTAGATATGAAAGATTAGATCAATCAGCGAGACAACTTGGCCATGGCCAGAACTGAGTTTGAAATAGCTGATTCTCTGGCTTTGAGCCGCTGCCACGTTGGTAAGGAAAATGTAGGAAAAAAAAGTTACTAGTTCTCGGCATGGC